CTTCCTCCAAGTTATCAACGTCTCTTTTCTTTTAATGAATTTTTATATATATATATAGTCCATCAGTTTTTCTTGACTATTTGAAAGTGAACAGACATTTTCTATCAAACTGCATCAAAGATTCTTGGTAGTTTTGAAGAAAACTAACACACTTTCTTTGCAACTATCATCGTTTTTTTAAACATACATTCAGTAGTTCTTGTAACTGGGCGACTCAATAAATTTGACGTCACTGTCACGAAGTTGAAAATCTGTTAGAACGACACGCTCGTTTTAAATATTGCGTAACAAGGATATATGTACAGGAATTTAAAATTAACTGATACTGAGGAGAGCACGTTAAGTACACGCATATTATAAATATAAACCATATTAACACGCGCACATACTGTACATTATATCCATAGAAATAAAGAGCATTAGATTTACCAAATGACTGAGTCCGTAAGCCTCGTCTTTGGAGGGACGGGGGATCTGCTCACCCCTTGCCACTGTACCTCCCCCCGAGCGTAAGTATAATAATAATTTTCCATAAAACTATTGCAAAACAGGGTTTACTAAACACGGTAAACAAGGTGGGAACAAGAAGCTATCCACTAAAACAGGGTTTACTAGACACGGTTAACAAGGTGGGTACAAGAAGCTATCCAGTAAAACAGGGTTTACTAAACACGGTTAACAAGGTGGGTACAAGAAGCTATCCAGTAAAACAGGGTTTACTAAACACGGTAAACAAGGTGGGTACAAGAAGCTATCCAGTAAAACAGTGTTTACTAGACACGGTAAACAAGGTGGGAACAAGAAGCTATCCACTAAAACATGGTTTACTAGACACGGTAAACAAGGTGGGAACAAGAAGCTTTCCATTAAAACAGGGTTTACTAGACACGGTAAACAAGGTTGGTACAAGAAGTTATCCAGTAAAACAGTGTTTACTAGACACGGTAAACAAGGTGGGAACAAGAAGCTATCCACTAAAACAGTGTTTACTAGACACGGTAAACAAGGTGGGTACAAGAAGCTATCCACTAAAACAGTGTTTACTAGACACGGTAAACAAGGTGGGTACA